ACGCTCTTCTCTGGAGAGTGTCAGAGTCAGTAAGATATACAGAGATCTATACTGAAGTATTACCCATCATACTAATAAATTCAGCTGGCTTACAGTGTCTTGTTTTTGTAAGGGCCTGTGTCTGGGAAATGTTCACATATAGGATTGTGCATATTAACCCATGTCTACATGTACAGTAAATCCATCAACACCCACTCTTCTGTGTGATCTCCTCTCACAGAGCTGAGAAGGGGTTTTTAGTTTTTGCTCCTGCTTCGGTGAATCCAGGCTTAGCGATGAGTCAGTCCAAGGTGTCGGAGTGTTGACAGCTTAACATGTTTTTTGCATATCCTGACATTATCATCAGCGCGTCCACCAACGCCCTCCCTTCCTTTCACAGCAAGTTGTCATTTCCCTCCTGCCTCACTATTACAGCTTTTCATACAAGAGATGATAAACATAATGATTAGAAAGACATCTGAGACAGCAGTATGGTGTAAAAGAGGTCTCATACACAAACAGTGCTCTGGAGCTTTTCGTCCTACATTATACACTAGCCTTTTTACACTGCCCGCTCAAGGTGGGATTATTCTGCCAATTTTCTGCCTCACCATCCTGTATAAAAACTACCAAGTTGGCATGTAGGGCAACCATTCTGTCTCAGCCTCAGCATAAAAAGGGAAGAGGTGGCTTCGGGGGTTGTAGGCAGAGGTGTGTCATAGATATATATGCTGTATGTGTATGTGCAGTATCTGTGGAGGTGTGTGAAGTTTTAATGAAGTGTTGCTTTTATGATGCACCACTGGGGGGATTTAACTTTTAATGTTGCTCACAAGAAACATAATCCGTGATGTATTTGACATGTATGCTGTGCACAGCAACTTCATGTCGTAAATGTGCAGGATGAGCAAGAGCACATCCCTACATCTGCCATTGACTGGAAAGCAAGAACATCACTGGTATATTTCCAATGTGTGTTATATGTTATGCTGTGTGTCACATTAACCATCAAACCTCTAATACCGGGATGCCGGTATATCTGTGTACTAAACAGATATAGAAAGAAAACATGAGCAGCATTATGCCAACTTTTTTTTAGTTCGGTGTAAATAGGCAAAGCTGCAGTAAAGAAGGGCCAGCTTAATGCCACTCTAGCAGAATGCCTGTCTAAAAGAGGCTACTGGCTGCGCCTCTCAGCAGCTGACCACTCCTTCTTCTCCCATCATAAATCCATACCTGAGCTTGTTAAATAAATAATGCCGTCCTTCTCAAGATAAAGCTGATTGGTCCCAAGCTGATTGGTAGCCAAGGACAGTGTGGAAAAGGTTGCATCTGCAAGGAAAGAGGGACTTGATCCAGAGAGAAAGGTCCCCACTTTATAATATCTGTTAAGCCATCAATTATTAAACTTTAGCTTTTATAAAATGAGGGTTGACACCTCCAGCAGAGACAGCGACCCTCTCATGACAAAGTGATAAACTGGAGAGTGGCATTTCTCTAACAAGAGTGACATTTAATTTTCAGTCTAGAAAATGCTCCTTTTCTAAGAACAGGGTGGGCTTTATAGAATGCCTTTCATATTTCTTAGCTCATTTAATATGACTATACTTGGGTGGTTATTTTGGAGATCATTTTGGGATTAGACATATGAAAACATATGAAGAACATGTAAGATGGGATGTCAAGCTCATAATCTAAAAATGATAGCACTGAAGGAGTAGGTTAATAGTCAATCAGTAGAAAATTAATCTGCATTTGTTCTGATTAACATTTAGGTCTTTTTTTTTTAAAGTTACCTTTTTGAAGTAAAATATTCATTGGTTTCAGCTTCTCAGATGTGAAAACTGGCTCCATAATCATCTATGATCATTAATTTGATATTTTTGGGTTTTGAACTGTTGGGTGGACAAAATAAGCTATTATTATTTTCACCCTTTTCTAACATCTCAAAAACCAAATCATTCACCAGCTGAATTAGAAACCAATGGCCAGATCAGTCAATAATGAAAATAAATATTAGTTGGAGCCATAGTAATAAAACTGCATGTAGTAATAGTACTGGCCTGTGATGTGACGATACATGGGAAGATGTGAACACTGTCCACTGGCGAGCACACTCAAATCACTAGAGTTTATTGTGTCGTATGTGATTGTATGAGGGCAGGTGAAAAAAAAATCAAACTAGTCTCAATATGATCCTTGCAATAAAATGTTAATGTGGAAGAGTGTTAATGTTGTGAAAACAAACAAGCCTATCAGCAACCACCATTCTAGATGGTATCTTCATTGTGAACAGCCTGTCTGTCCTGTCCCGGCTCCTTTTCTTATGGAGTCATATTTCAAGGCTTTGGCCTGCTGCCGTTGGTTGTGCAGTGAGTATCACAAATCACCATTTAGTTGACTTTGTAAGACAGCTGGGTGATTTGAACTCACGTCCCTCAGCCTTTCACAATCTTGTCCAGCTCACAGGATCTGTCTATGGAGGCCGTGCAGTCAGGGGTTGAGGGTTAGCGTTTCTCATTTGGTTTTCATCTCCTGATGTCGTGCCTTAATAAGGGTTAGTAATCCTGTGACCTGCTTCATCTTCATTCAGCTGAACAAAGCCTCAGCCTTTTGTTGATCACCGAGAATTCTTCCTCATGTTTTGGCATGAGGTGCCTTCTTC